ACATCCTCCCCCTGTCCCTTCCCCACTCCCCTCCCTCCCCCTCCGTACCTTTGCTGTCACACTTCCCAAACCCAGGGCTGTAGCTGTAGCTGTAGCTCCGGTCCAGCTGCCCCCCTGTGTTAAGGGGGCAGGTTTGGGGTCCCCCCTGCTTCATCATCCTCCAGCATTAAAGTTCTCCGCCCACCCCACCCTGCCCCAGTCCTTTTCCAGTGGATCCCGAGCAGGGAGGGGACCCAGGTGCCCACCCCACTCTGGCCAAGGTCTCCCTGGCTCCCTTGGAGCTGCCCCCCACCACCCTCCTTACCCCTGGGGCCCGGGGCTGATGCCCCGAGGTGCTTCCAGTCAGGGGGCAGCGTGGCATTGCCTTCAGGGCCGTAGGGTCTCTCCAGGCCAGGGAAGAGCTGTGGGCCGTGCACCTGGAGCCCAAACAGGGGACAGGGTGGCCTCGAGGGTGGTGGCAGTGGCCTGTGCCACACTGTGCCGGCCCGTGCCACACCGTCCTGCCCCTTGCCCTACCTTGAGGGAGCTGGCTCTGTCCTGGGGGCCGGGGGGCAGCGGCGGGCACTGGGACAGCGTGTGGTAGCTGGGGTTGGAGTAGTAGTGTGCGTGGTGGCTCGGTGGCACATCTGGAGGGGACAGGAGTCAGCAAGAGGGGGCCACCAGGGCTGGGGTCACCCAGCACCTGCACCCAGCAGCCTGCAGCGCTGCTGCCCCGGGCTCACCTGGCACCATGTAATCGGAGGTGTCCGTCTGTCCTGCCGTGTAGGCCACGGCCAGGTGCCGGCTCTCCTTGCCCTTCTGCCGGTGGCGGTAGCACAGGGCCACGACCACCACGGCCACCAGCAGCGCCGCCAGGGCCACCAGGCTCAGCACCACCCCCAGGGAGCTGTAGGCTGCAGGGGGGGCTGGCACAATGGTGTAGGGCTGCTCAGGGGTCCCTATGGGGTGGGGAGGAATATCAGTCCCTATGGGGTGGGGTAGGGACCCCAGGGACCCCCCCCGGCTCTGCCCCCCACTCACCAGCCTCGCAGTGGGGCCCAGTTGTGCCAGGGGGGCAGGGACACGTGCCGGTGGCGGGGTGGCAGGTGGCATTGTGGGGACAGTGGCAGAGTTGGTCACACTGGAGCCCGAAGGTCCCGGGGGCACAGGCTGGGGACACAGGGGGTGGGGGAGACAGAGCCATACTGGGGCCACAGCTCCATACTGGGGCAATACGGCTCCGTACTGGGACCATATAGCTCCATACTGGGGCTGTTCAGCCACTGGGTGCCCTGGATCATGGATGTCCACAGGGGCCCATATGGTCCCATGCTGCCCAGTCTGGAGCTGGTAGGTCACCAGTGGGGTGACCCCCCTCTCTCACCCCCCCCAGGCCCCCCAGGCTGGATGGGAGGGTGCAGACCCGCAGTGAGAGGGTCTCCGTGCCAGGCTCTACCTTCTTCGCAGAGCGTCCCTCTCCAGCCAGCTGGGCAGTGGCAGGTCCCCTCAGCAGGGTGACACGTCCCCCCATGGTGGCACAGGCAGGGCTGGGCACAGGCATCCCCCCAGGAGCCAGGGGCGCAGGCTGGAGGAGGGGACAAGGGATGGGGTCAGCCTTGTTCC